GCTCTCTCTCCTTGCCTCTCCTCTCTGCTCTGCTCTCCCTCGCTCCCGAACCAGCTGTCCCGAGCTGCGAACTCCCGCAAAAAACTGGTTCGGTTCGGAACTGAACGCTTCGGGGAAGCGGAGAAGCGGAGTGTCTGCTTGTGTGTCTGCTGCCTGATACAGCTGCTATTGTCGCTGGGAGATGGCCATCAACAAGTTGAACGAGGTCTGCATGGAAGCATGTTGTTGGCAACAGTGTTGTGTCCCCTTCTCTGTTGTAGACCACTGCCGTGCTATTCGCATTGTGTTTCGGAAGTAAGAGAGAGAAAAGGTGCCCGCAATTAATTGATTGGCCAATTTTTTGAAAGGAACGTTCCAAAGAAAGGGAAAAATTCCTTGGTCGACCGATGACCTCATCCACGTCGAGAAGTCGCCTTTCGGCGAAATTCAAAATTTTGAATTGACCGTGGATGACGTCATCGGTCGATCATGGAACTTTCGCCTTTTCTTTGAACGTTCCTTTCAAAAAATTGGCCAATCAATTAATTGCGGGCACCTTTTCTCTCTCTCTTGAGGCTACAACGATGGTATGGCCTTGTGGACTTATCCTTTCTCATTGTTTTGGAGCGGATACTCTTACCAAGGAGTTTTCGGACAGCACCAGCAACACTTGATTTGAAACTACCCGGATGAACATCTCCTCTTCTCCATCATGCCCTCAACTGATGGGATTCCGTTCTTTCGCTGTTCTTCCCGATCAGCGTTTGTCGGCAAGACGCTAACCGTTGTCTCCAAAAATCAAGCACCGAGCACCGTAGGCACGAGCCAGCCTCTACCCGAGGATATAGTTCAGGTTCGAGGCAAACCCCATAGACTGTTTGTCTCTCCCACTCTGAAAATCGCAAGCAACGGAGTTGTTGGGTGTCAACAGCGACCGGCGGAGCCGAAAGCGGCCAATCGTCTCAAAAGAACGCCTCCGACGTGTCTGTACGGCTTCATGGCACTCTCCGCCCAACGACGAGGACATGGCAACCGACCCTGGAAATACCAAACCTTTCACTACTGCAGCTCACTTTGTCTGCCCTCCCTGGAAAAACAGAACAAGGTTCAATCACAACTTCTTTCTGCAAGCGAGCAGGAACGCGACCACCACCCACATCCCTCATCAGCAACCGAACAACGCGCTGACGACAATGGCCCCTGAGTTCAGCGTTCGCGCGTCGCGCCACGTCGTCATGTCACAACTCTAACGCGTCGATGGCCTCCCGCTGGAAGTCAGCTCTTAGTCGTAGCACCTCCTTCACCCTCTCGGAAGAAACGGACGCGTTTTCGCCGTCGCCAATCCTACCGCCACCGCCGCCGTTTACTCCCGCGCTGCCGTCGTCCCGGGGGCGTCTAGGGGCTGGCGGCGGGCGGTAGTCGAGGGCGTCCGCTGGTCGCTCGAAGTTCAGCAGCCGTACCTATGATGGCGCCAAAAGGGCATGCAATGGACAGTGTGAAACAAACACGTGTTAACTCCGGTGTTGAGACCACAAAATCAACGAGCTTGCCCGGGCGGGTGTGGTGGGCGGGTGTAGGATTCGTTTTCTCTGAAACTCTGCCAAAAGCAATGTTTCGTTCGTGAAGGACACACACACAATGACGGTGGTACATGGAGTTGTTTTTACTTACTTTCTTACTGGTTGTAGCGAGGACATAGACAACAGCAGCAGCAGCAGCAGCAACAACAACAACAACAACAACAACAACGGCCGACAAAAAACGTCAACAGGATGGATTCCACAAACTGTCGGCTACCTCCACCATCTGCGGGATATACGAGCACCACTCGTGTTTGTCTGCCTACATAGTCTCGAGTACGGCCAAGACTTGCTCGAGTGCGGCCAAGACTTGCTCACATCAATTTGGGGCACCATCTCTTCGAATGTACGAGCAGTGATGATTAATGTGTTGTTGATACTCTGCGTGCACCACTGAGCAACATTCACATGCGGCCGCGTAGCCTATGAAGCCATCAAGATCTTGTGGGGGGTAGAAAACCTACCCCCCCCCCC